AGAGCAGTTCCACTTCGTCACATGGAGTCACCATAAGTTGAAATCCACCCCACAACAATGAGTTTGGTTTGGGGTTGTTTTATTAGGACTATGATGCTACTTCAGTCACATGAGATGAATTAGTTTATTTTAGACTAAGAGAGGAAGCACCTTAATAAACATTTTATTCCTATTGTTATTTGCTGTGGAGTCAATTGTGACTCATTGAGACCCCGTGAACAACAAATCTGAACCTGGCCCTATCTTGTGACATTCTCATTGTCTCTGGTGTACTTGAACCTATTGTAGCAGTTGCTGTGCCAATCCATCTTGTTGAAGGCCTTCATCTCATATGCTAACCCTCCACCGTCTTTACCCATTGGTTTAAATGCTGTATTTGTGTTCAAATGCACAATATATTTTAATTTCTCTTGGATATATACTGAGAAAGAGACTTGCTGGATCATATGGTAGTTCATATGTTTAATCATGGGTTGTCCAAAGTGTTGTTGTTGTTATGTGATGTCGAGTCGCTTGTGACTCATAGCGACCCTATGTACAACAGCCCTAAACTCTGCTCTGTCCTGTGCCAATCGCACCGTCTCAGATACACCCATCCCCATTACCCCAGTCACTGAATCAATCTACCTCATAGGGGGCCTTCCCCTTCTGCGCTGTCCCTCCACCCTACCAAGCATGATGTCCCTCTCCAAGGACCTGCCCTCCTTGCAACATGTCCAAAGTATGTTAGACGGAGCCTTAGAATCCTTGCCTCCAAGGAGCAGCCCGGTTTGACCTTTTCCAGGGTGAATCTATTTGTTTTCCTAGCAGTCCATGGTACCCTCAATACTCTTCTCCAGCACCAAAGCTCAAAGGCATCAATTCTCTTTCTATACTCCTTAGTCATTGTCCGACTCTCTGATGCATAACAAGTGATTGCAAAGACCATGGCCTGTATCAGACACACCTTAGTCTCCAAAGAGACACCATTGCTCTTCAGTACTTTGGAGAGGTCCCTAACAACAGACTTTCCCATGGCAATACGTCTTTTAATTTCCTGGCTGCTGGTGCTGAGAGTGTTAACTGTGGAGCCAAGCAAACTGAAGCTGTGAACAATCTCAATCTCTTCACCATCCATCCTCATGCTGACAATTGGTCCAGTGGTGAGAATCTTTGTCTTCTTGACATTGAGCCTCAATCCATATTGTAGGCTGCAGTCCTTGACACTCTGCAGCAGGCGCTTCAGGTCCTCCTCAGTTTCAGCAAGCAGGGTTGTATCATCTGCATAGCACAGATTGTTGATAGATCTTCCACCAATCTTGACCCCACATTTCTCCTCATAGAGCCCAGCCTCCCGGATAATCTGTTCTTCATATAGGTTGAAAAGTTATGGAGACAGGACACATCCCTGGCGTATGCGCTTCCTGATTTTGAACCATGCAGTGTTTCCTTGCTCTGTTCTGACGACTGCCTCTTGTTCCCAGTATAGGTTTCTCATTAGCACAATCAAGTGTTCTGTTGTTCCCATTCTTCTCAGAGTCAGCCACAGTTTGTTATGATCCACACAGTCAAATGCCTTTGCATAGTCAATGAAACACAGATAGACATTCCTCTGGTATTCTCTGCTTTCAGCTAAGATCTATCTAACATTAGCTACAATATCCCTAGTACCATGACCTCTTCTAAACCCAGCCTGGACTTCTGTCCAAAATGAGCTGTTAACATTTTCAACAATAACATGTGAGGGTTCATATTTCTCCAAATCTTGAATTATTTCTCCAAAATATAACTGCTTTGCTAATGTTATTGTTGTTGTATACCATAGCGTCAGAATTGACCCATAGCTGACCCTCTGGTGGATTTTCAGAGGCAGTAGTCGCACGGGAGATTGCCCATCCTTCTAACAGCAGCTGGTGTCCTCGAACCAGCTTTGAGACCGCAGTGTAGCTTCTTGCCACAATAGTAGAGCATAAAGAAAGGAGCGTGACAATGTGATAGCATAGTGGAAATTGCATCAGACTTGGACCACCTTATCTTTTCCTTAATGTAAAAACCATAAATCTTTGACTATCATGGGTCTCTTTAAAGGCAGGCTAACACAATATGGGATTAATATAGCCCCTAATAGTATACCTAATAGGGAGATTCCAAATACAATCTTAAAGTGAAAGGTTAGTTTTTAATTTTATTCTGTGTAAGTTTCAGAAAATGCACCTTACTTATTTCTTGATTTCATATTTTACTGCTGTTGTTCTTTTCTTAGGGACAGTGTTAGCATCTTACTAGGACTCTTTTGGTGCTCTATAAGAGTTGAAATGATTTCCATGGACATGTTACAGTTGGAGCCATTTATAAAATTGGAGGGAGAATTCCCATTGTGGCAATGTAGAACTACTGCCATTTCATTCCCTAGATAGTTTTCCAAGTGTTAGGACAAGATTAACAAGGATAAAAAGTCATTTCAAGTTTTATCTTAAGCTCTCTGGAACCATGGAATTTCAGTGCTGTCTTTTCAGTGCTGTCTTGACTAGACAGAGCTTGTATCACATACTTGTTCACTTTTAGATACTGTTCTTGAAGCCACTTTTAGCCTGGTGACAGGTTGTGACACTCACTGTCACATTTTCCACCCTGGCCTTTAGAAAAGTAACAGGATCCAAATAATTAGTTACATAAATCAGTTTTCTCCCTATTTCCCCTCAACACTTTTATGACAATTATCTGTACTTTGAGGGGATACTCTATGAGTGCACAAGTAATCTGCCATTCTACTATCTTGTAGCAAAAGTAAATAGCTTCCCAGAGTCAGCCTTTGATAAATGGGATTTCTAATATTTTTCATGTAATCAGTAAATCACCACTGGTGGAAAGAAGGATATAGAGGGAGAAAATTTTATTTCTTTCTCAATTCTTCAATTAATTCATACATTTAACCTGTAATTATTAAGTTCCTATTTTGTTAGGCCTAGTGGTAAGGAGTTGCCAGCCTAAAGGCATGACGTTCAAATCCATCAGCCACTCCATGAGACAAAGATATGTTACCTCCTTCCATGTGATTTGCTGTCTAAAGCCCACAGGAGGGTCTGCGATGAGTGGGTGCTGACCCAAACAGTACTTAACAAAAACAACTATGTCAGTTCATTTCTTTGTTAACCTGTTCTTTATTTTTAGAACTCTAATAACAAGGTTTTACACATAAGCTTTGGTTCTTGGAAGCAAGCATTTTCCTTCTTTGTTTTTAGTCTTAATGTCCTTACTGTAATGCAGCTTCTGTTTTTGATGTTTTGAAAGCTTCCCCGCCCCCTTCTTCTTAAGCAGCAAAACCCATTTGGCTTATGCTCTTAGCAAGTTGGTTTGAGTGCTTTTTTATGAAAGCTAGAAATAGAGGAATGTTATTTTTTTTTCTCCTGAGATTTCCCCTAAATCTTAGCTTTTCCTCAATTTCCTATTTTTCTGTTTTTATTTATGCCTTTTTAATCATAAACATTTATTAGGAAACTGATGTTTGCTCAGTGCCAAATTTTGTGAAATTCTGAAACAGGATCATATCCACCAAAATACTCCCAAAGATACTTCCAAATAATGTCAAATTTAAAGATTATATAAATCATAGAAGTTTCCCCATTTTACGTCTTTTCTATGAAAATGTTAACATCTTCTGGTATTCTTTTTTCTCCCTCTGTTCATCTTGACCAGGCACCTTTGTATCCTGAAGTTAAGCAAAGTCTCTAGGATCAGATAAAGCTATATTCACACCTTTGAACAATGTCCTATTGAACATTTTTATAGCACTCAGTAAAACCCTCTCAGCACTGTTTTCATCTGTGAAACAGGGATAATAATTTTAGCTACTGTTTTGGGTTACTGTAGGAATTAAAACAAAGACTCACTTTAAGTCTGATACTAACAAGCACCCCATTCATGCTAGCAATTAACTTCACATTTGTCTGTATCCTTACCCAACAGCCATTTCTCATCCTGCCCTATTAAACGGTTTCAGCCAGTGACAATAAATTGAGCTTATTTCTCAATAGATAATAGAATCGGAATGGAGTCCAGCACATTGGGATTCCATGTCAGCATAGATTATTTTAGGAAATCCTGTCCCAATACTTGTTCTTCCAGTATCTGTACACTGCAGGATATCATGAAGCAAGAGTCTACCACTCTCCTGAGAAAAAGGATAAAAAACCCCATATCTTTTATATTTCAGAAAGTACAGAATATATGAAAAATATGGAAATAAAAAGTCCCTACATATAAAGTTTTATTTGAACACAGGCTTTTCTTAATAGCCAAACTTTGAGTCTAGGTACTCCAAGACTGTCGAGTTGTCGAGTTGGAATGATTTACAGCTGACACTCCAGCGGATTTTCACAAGTAAAATCGTGTTGAGGGGGTAGGGGGGAAGGTTTTTCCCATCTTTCTCGCATGGAGCAGCTGGTGAATTCGAACCCTTTGCCTATTAGTAGTGCAGCTCCTTGCCACTAGACCACCAGAGTTCCCAGGATTCCAGGTATAGGTATATGAATTTTTTCTTGATCCTGAAGTTATGAAGTCTCTGGTCTCCTAAACCAACAGAAATCTAAGCTGGAAACGAGGAGCTGGCAGGGAGGAACCCTGGGACGTTCGCTCAGGCTTCCACCTGTCTGCCAGGTCATTGTGACACAAATGCTATGGACACGTGGAACACCTGCAGGAAAGCTGGGGCGGGGTTACCGGAGCCGCAGATCCGAGCAGGGGATACCCCGGGAGATGGGGGTCAAGGAAGGACCCCAGGGAGTACAGAGAGGGGGACTCACTCCCCCCACTCCTGTTCCGCCCCGCCCCAATGAAGGTGAGGCCATCACCCCTCCCTGCTTCGCTGGCTGCCAGGGTCCTACAGAGA